CATGCTGGGGGTCGACACAACCCTCAACATGACAAAGAGTTTACGGCACCCAAGCGCACTACCTTGCGCATCGAAGTTCGGGAGCCCGCTGAGAATTCATGTCTACAAAGGCGTGTTTCGAGGCGAGTGACTCTCGGAAGTCCAAATAAGGCAGTTTGCTCTCAGAAGGAAACGTTGTCATCCGAGGATGATAACGTTATACCTGGGAAATCATGCCAACACGCGATAGGTTACTCCGATCAAATGGACGAGTTGTACTATCGTGCTGGGGGTACGAACAAAACAAGAAAAAGAAGCCCTCAAGGGCTCGAAACTCAGTGCCCATGTGCCAAGCTCATTCGGGTAGTACTGTCTCAATGCAACTGCATCAAGGGAGTCCCCGAGAGAATTTCAGTGTTCGAAAGGCTCGGCACCGAAACGCCAAAACCAAGGCATAGGCGCTTCCGGCAAAGAAGAACAGTGGTTAAGGATGGAGAATTTCCGAAGGTCACCGCCAACATGACCAGCAAAGAGACATCGACACAGATTGATCTCAAATCGTTTCTGGAAGCGTCCCGGCGTGTAACCCGTCTGCAGTCCGGAGCCATCGCACGAGGAACTTATGGTAGGGTTCGGATAAGATTGCCTTCGGAAGATGAAGAATCGGATTCCTGCTCTGCTGTCGCATCGGACAATACAGTGTCCAGCGAAGGACAACCCCGCGAGTCATTCATGATAGGCGCGGAAGAAATGGCCAAAATGCTTGAAGACGCTTTGGCTAAGCAGAAAGAAAGTTTTAAATTCGAGATGGAGACGGCCATGCAGCAGATGAGAGAGATGCATGAACAGCAAATCCAAGCATTCAGGAACCAACAAGGTGAACCAAGCCACCGTAACCAGGTTGCTCAGGAAAAGGAGCACGCGGATGGGGATGAAGCTCACAATGCCAATAACCCTCCCATCAATGCAGGGGGTGGTAGTGAGGATGCCAACGGGGATACAAGTGAAGACTTGAAGATCAAAAGCCTCGAGAGTAAAATCAATACGTTGCTGTCTGCTCAAGAGGTAAAGAAAACGGGCATTCCTTGTCCATACCCGAGGGAATGGGAATCAATCCCCTATCCGGCGAAGTTTAGTCTAATCAACTTCACGCCGTTCGATGGAAGGGGTTCCCCCACCCAGCATTTGATTTATTTCAAATCGCACCTGGGTGCTATCTCTGGGAACGAGCCTCTGATGGTGCGGTCATTCGTCGGCACTCTTTGTAGGCATCAAAAATTGCCAATAGGTCCCCGCACACAGCTCGGTATTAACGATCGACGATTGAACGTCACTACCCGGTTCACAAGGGTTCAAATGACGCCGGTGAACGATTGAAGCGAACCGACGGACTATGTGAGCCGACAGAATGTCAGAATCACGGGGATACGGATTGACCGGAAACCCCGCGACCGCTGCAAAAGGAGCAGCGCCCTTCGTGTCCCGTTTACTCCACTGAGAAGTCAACCATCGGGACTAACAGAGCTCTTCGCCAAGATCCCAACGCATCCGAGATCACTCAAATCCGAGTTGGGACGACGAATCAACGGCAAACACACCCGGAAGGCCTCGGACCAAACTGAGGCACCCGGGGTGTCTCGGCAAGCTCGAAACACCCGGGGGTGTCTTGGCAAAACCAAGACACCCCAGGGGTGTCTCGGCCAAGCCGAGACACCCTAGGGTGTCTCGGCCATAGCCGAGACACCAAGGGGTGGCCGCACCCCTTGGTGGTCCTCTAGACCCCCTTGTCCCCTTCTAAATCGCCATGGCCGAGACACCCCAAGGGTGTCTCGGCCATGGCCGAGACACCAGGGGGTGTCCACGCCCCCTAGTGGTCCCTAGACCCCCCTAGACCCCTCTAAATGCTATAAATAGCCCCCCTTGGTGCCTTGATTTGAGGAGGAATTTTGGGAGAGCTTGGCGAAGCCCTGCTGCAGTGAAGAGTGCCCGTGTGCTTCAACAAGAGGAGGAGAGGCCTTGATCAGAGCCTTCATCGCCCGTCAGATCCTTAGTATCGGCCTTAGCGTTGATACTAAGAAGAGCTATTACCTCGCTTTAGCCGAGGTATACGCTTATAGCTTCTAGATCTCACGCGGATCGACGAAGCTCTGCTTCTATATCCCTCCGCGGATAGACGAAGCTCTGTCCGATTTATCCGGATCAGAAAGTTTCTAGATCTCACGCGGATCAACGAAACTCTGTCCGATTTATCCGGACCAGATCTGAGTGCCCCGGTGGTCCACGGATATCAACATCCCCGTCACAGGCAAAAGACCCACGCAAGCAAGAGATGACAAACAGATCTTGCGTTTGTTTGAAAAGAGTTGTATTTCTTTTGTTTTCATTGTGTACCGGTCTTATAAAAAGGCTATCTTTTTATTTCATTGTAACGATTGAAGTTGTAATGAATGCAGCAATGAATACAGCAACTTTTTCCGCAAACAAGCTGGCGACCACAGTGGGAGCCAACGGCATCGCAACCGACGCCGTCGTGACGCAACCAGCACTCAAGATCGGGGTGAATGAAGAACACGAGCTCAATCAACAACGGTTCAAAGAAGGCCTCTCTTCCTCCTCCTCCAGATCCGCCTCTCCAAACGGGTACAGAAAGGTAACCTCTTTCTTAAAGGATTGCAGGTCCTTCGGTTCAAAAATCCAAGACCCCGTTGCCGCCTCTGCACTTGCACCACGCGACGTCCCCACGTCGTCCAACCTGGTCGAGATCGCAGATCCGGATTCCTCTTCCGCCGAGGAGATGACTTCTGAAGACGCTCCCGCAGTAACAAAGAGAACACGACAAAGACGACGTCAACGTCTTGCTCGTCAGCTGGCCGAGGCTTTGAAGCCAATGGATGGGATCCGCTATAATGTAGATCTAAAATCCAGGCAACGCCAGGAGCAACAACGGCAAACAACCAGCCCCTCCTCCGAAGCAGAAACAAACAAATGGGTTCATGTCAAAAGAACCCGTTCTACTCTCGAGGAGCGAATCCAGAAGCGCCGCGCCTTGCGTGCGCATGCACGAGCCCTGGTCCAAAAAGCACGAGAGATGCTAAAGGGAGAGGCCGTTAAGAGATCGCCGAGATCCGAACGAGTTTGGGTACCAAAGGTCAAATCAATGCCTAAGGTAATAGCAGGTAATATTGCTCTCCAACCTTCGTCAATTTCAGGTCCCGAACCTTCGGTAAAGCCCCACCGCAGCGTGGATTTCCCCAAGTTCAAGAATCCTCTGAATAACCGTATCGGTGCTCGACCCGAGGATCGAGGAAGAGCGCTTGTCAAGGAAAGCTGGGGATCATTGAAGGAGCTTCGAGCCAACATCCAGACTGGGGGTCGTAC